AAAACTAGACTTGCAAGTAGGTGCATATGGGTCACAGCACCTGCCACAACTCTGAACTTACTTGTCTGGAGGGCCCTATGAGGGCGCTATGATGTGCTCCATCCATGAACACAAAGAATGTGTCTCTGCCAAAACTGTCTCCAGTTCCCAGTATCCCTTTATCTCTTTAAAAAACGGATAAAGAATAGGAACAGATATTCACAGAAAATAACAAAACTACCAATTCCTTATATTTTCGCTTGGAAAATAAACATGAGATACTTCTTGACCCCAGAGATTTTTTGAAAATAGATCAAGCTCTTGGTGCTGGAGGAACTGTAAAGAAGATCATGTTAATGATTTACATATTTTCTTCTCGTGTTAAGGAAATGGTGGATGGTGGAACAACCCAAGCAGCTGTGGAGAACAAAATCTAGTGAGTCCTGTGTTGTTAGCTGCAGGGTCTGAGGAAAATGGACGGCAAGGCGGGGGTCTTTGTGATGGCTGTGCCAACAATAATACTTCCTTCAGAGGACTTTTGTCTCGGCAGGATCTGGAAAAAAACACCATTTTCAATAGACTTGACAACTGTTACAGTGTCTTTACAGGTCTCACTAAACAATTGATCAGACAGTTGCAGCTGATTCAGAACGCTGCTGCTTGAGTCCTCACTTAGATCAAGAAAGTGGATCACACCACTCCAGTTCTAAGGTCTTTACACTGGCTTACTCTGTCAGAGAATCGATTTCAAAATACCACTGTTGGTAAATATACACTGAATGGTTTATGGACCATATATATTTCTGACCTTCTCCTACAGTATGAACCATCCAGACCTCTCACGTCTTCTGGGACAGGTCTGTTTTGTGTCCCTAGAGTTAAGAATAAACATGGAGAAGTAGAGTTTAGTTTTGATGCACCACATGAGGAACAAACTCCCAGAAAACTGCAGGTCTGCACCAACTCTGTTCATTTAAATTGAGGCCGATGACTTTTCAGTTTGCTGCTGCCTTTAAATAAATCAAATATTTATCAATTTCTTACACTGCGCTGTAACTTTTATTCCTGTATTTTAAACCTGTCTTAGTCTTGTTTTTATCTTCTATTCTCTATTATTTACTGGTGTATTTGATTGTACGTCCTTTGCACTTTGTCTCGATGCTTTTGATGTTTAATGTAAAGCACTCTGAATTGCCTTGTTGGAGAAATGTAATATATAAATTTGAAATGCCTTGGAAAGGCTCAGTACTTTGATCCACCTTAAGTGTGTATATATTATTATATATATTATATACATATTTATAGAGAGAAAGGTATTCCACAGCTGAGGACCCTGACACCCTTAAAGCCTTTGAAAACTAACAGGTAACTGCCGCAGGGCGCCAAGATTTGTGGCATGGTCACTTAACAAAGGCCCATACTGAATCTGCACCTGCAGAACTCCACAGATTTCAGAAATATAGATGCAGCTTGTAAAATGCATGTTGTCAGTCTCCTACACCTTGTGCATGTGTGTGACAATAATGTGTTGTATTCAGTTAGCATTAAAATCAGAAATGTAAAAAATAATGTTGTAGTGTTTTATATTTTAAGTGTTAAAGATTAAATCAAATTTATAATTCAAAGTTTCTACTAAATCTACTAAGTAGTTCTTTTAGCCTGCTCGAGGTAATTTTTGGTTTTAATGTATTGTGTGAGTTTATTTTTGTTCAAAAACAATTGTTATAATAAATGTCTATCACATTATGAGCAAAAAAAAACATTCTGCAGAATTCTTCAGATTTACATTTTGGATCACCACTGAAAACAATGAAAAAATCTGTAGATTCTATTTTGGCATAGTAATAAGTCAGAACACTCATATTACTTCAGGACTGCAAAATATAGTAAATATATGTATATATATTAGTAATACCTGTACCATCAAGGCTTTTGCTATAGCCATGAGCTAAACTCTTCACTCAAAGTGCTAGACTCCTGTACAAATGTATAAAAGAAGTCAGGCTTTATAAGGGCTCTAACATTTGACTTAAATTTCACCTGATCTCCAAGAGTGCATTTGATCCTTTACTGTTTTACCACTGGTGTAGTCAGGTGCTATTTGACTTGAATCACAGGGTGACATTATGAGGAGCCAAGATGACACAGACAAGGTATTTAATAAATTAACATAATACAAGTGATCAAAACTTTTTACATAACTAAAAAACAACAACGCCAAGGTCCTTTCATTGCAGGCACTGCCTGTGTGTGATACAGAGAAGACCATCACATCCAGTCACAGCTGCACCAGCCAGCAGTGTGTTACAAAGTAGAAATGTGGCAGATTATTGACGTGAAACCCTTCTGCTGAGACAGTGATGGTTAACAAGGGATCCTCCTGAGGGGGCATCCTCCTGAGGGGGCATCCTCCTGAGGGGGCATCCTCCTGAGGGGGCATCCTCCTGAGGGGGCATCCTCCTAAGGGGGCATCCTCTGCAGCTAGGTCACTTCAACAGGTGTCTCAGCTGGTCCTGCAGGTTTTTAGAGTGCTCCACACTGGAAGAAGGAAAAGGAGTCAGTGCATGTTATCGGTTTGTGTTATGACTGACTGTTGAGACAGTGATGTCAGCTGTTTCTACTGAAGCATAAACACAGCGTAGTATTTAGACTTACTTCTTCTGGATGGCCTCCTGCCTAAGGGACAGACAGACAATCTTTAATATTAACTTCCAATTTGAGCAAAAGTGACACTCTGAGTTTTACAAGTTTGTTCTCCAGGACAGCAGGTTGATACTCACTGGTATTGTAGATGTGTGGTGATAATGGACATTTTTCTCAGACTCTGGGAAACAGATGATAATGATGTTGTATTGTGCCACATTGTAGATCATACAAACAAGAGCAGATAAAGTTACCACTCCATTTAGTTGTCTCAAGCATGAATTAGGAGGCCTATATGACAAAATTTAATTTCTTTGTTGTGATGCTGTTTGAGAGATGTTCATTTAACTTGTTTTTGGTACTGTTGCCCTTCTCAACACTGAATAGTATATTCAATATTTTGTCCTCCTGTGGCATATTATACGATTAGAGGTACACCGATCAGCCAAAATATTAAACCACTGCCAGTGGGTGGAACATGTCAGGTGGTATCCACATGAATGCCAGAACCAAAAGTTTCCCAGCAGAACAATTCATTGGAACAAAATAATCAAAGTTATTCACTTAAGCTGTCAGTGGTTTATTGTTCTGGCTGATCAGTGTATACTGTGATACTTACATCCTCAGAGTGCAGGATGGCGTCCTCCTGAATGACCATATTTCTTGCTGCTTGACCAAGAAGCTGGCAGAGACATTAGCAACAATATGGCATTTAGGGCTGCAACTGATTATTTCATTACCAATTAATCTGCCAATGATTTTCTCCTTGTATTATCAGTAAACAATAAAACAATACCCGTCTTGATTCCCTTTAAGTGGAGCACACCTAAATTAAAAATTCAAACATGTTATTTCCACCGCCGAGAAAAGTTCTATCAGTGTTTGTGAACATGAAAGCCAGAAACTAGACAAGGGAGTCTTTCTAAAATAGTTGTGTTTCAATGCGAATCTTTCGTCTGAACTGGGCTTGATGCGTCTTTCACCAGTCACTGTCTCCAGAACAGCTCCAGACCTTATACTCTAAAGCCCTATTCGGACGGGATTAGTTTTACATAGGTACGTGGGGTAAAGTAATAATTACCAGAGATTTTAGTCCCGTCCGAATGTGCCATGTCAGTAATCATTATCGCACGATGTCAGTAAAGATTACCGCGACTTTTACCTTCTGTAAAAGGGTCCCGGACAATTACCTCAGGTAATACTGATCCCGTGCGAATAGACCAGCAGCAAATATGTGTGTTAGGGCTGTCAAAAAAAAAATATTCGAATATATATATTTTTTTTATAAGTTCGAACCTAAATTTGATAATTTGAATATCATTAATAATTAATTAATACTATCAATAATGTTGTATATCACGGCGAATCCCATTCGGGCGGAGATGGCTCGCGCACAAGCCGGGCCAGAGAGGGACACAGCGACGGAGGGAGAGGTGCCGATGGAGGAGCCCGCTGCGCCAACACCACCCACTGTGCTGTCCGCGATGAGTGACCTGTTCGGGGAGACATACAGGGAGAGTGTTGCACCTGCTGCCTCCCTGCCTACCCTTTTTGAAGAAGAGATGAAATGTTACCAGAATGACACCACTACGAGCCGACCAGGATCCACTATTGTGGTGGAAAACTATGCACTGAAGTATCCAAACATTGCTGTGGCCTCGTGCCTACGACCGAATCACAGCCGTGACGATATACAGTAGGCTACAACATCACTCCCTCCTGTGTGATATTGCTTTTATACAACAGTTCAACAACAACTTAAACAGCAATGCTGAGTAAGGAAATGTTAACAAAAGGTGATGAAATAAATTATTTAAGTAGGCCTATGTTATGTAGCTCAGCGAAAAAACAGTTCCCCAGTCTGTTGCCAGGCAACGCAGCACACATGCCAGGAACTCACAAATTAGCCTACTTTGTATTTACATTGATCTGCAACTGTGTAACTTCGTCCAGTTCGGCTGATGAAACGTTGGCAAACCTGGATGTTGGCACAGCCGGATTCAGCTTCCACTCTCCCTCATCCTCATTAGTACCTCATCAGATGATCATTGATAATAGGTACCTGACTGTGTTCGCTTCATTTTTGCTCCTCTCCAGTTTGTCGAGCTCGGCTGATGTTACACAAACACACCTGGAGGTCTGCACAGAAGAGTCCTGGCTTTCCTTTTCCTCGTCCTCTCATGACGACCACTCATAATTTAATTCAAATGTAATTTTGGGGAAAATATCCATCTTCTTGGTGTAAAGCTATAGTGTCAGTTTGTGTCAACGTAGCGTGACAGTGTGACAGTTGGTTAATTAACGGTTGTATTTATATTTATAACACCTGTGAGCGGAGTGATTTTACTGTTACAAGTACCAGTGATGTTATACTCTATATCAGCACTCACGGAATGCCTCTCGTCCAATCAAATTACTCGGTCGGAACTAACTGTTGTATAATAATATTTTTGAGTTTTCTCAGACCACAGGAACAACAGACATGAATTTTGAAAATGGACGCAGCTCTCCTTTAATAACTCAGAAAAGAATGAAGCTGCAAATTCTCAAAACTGCAAAGCTGGAACCAGGGAATCTAAAGAGGATTCATGATTAATAAACTCATGATTAATAAATTCATGATTAACAAAGCAGTTTCTGTCAAAGACTACTCATTTGATTGACAACTTGATTGAGCTCCAATGTTCAATTGCAACAAAAACTGTAACAGGACAGCTTCTGTCTATGAAGCAGCAATGTTCATGATAACGTTACGAAGGTGTTGTTTTCCATTAATAAAATTACGCCAGTTAACGTACATTTTAATGCCTTAGCTATTATGTTCCTTTATCGAGGAAGCTTCCTGCTACCCTGTATAAGCAGCAACAAGCTAGCTAAAATTAAAACTACATGTCTATTTTCACAATAAAATCCCTTCTAGTGGAGTCAAGTGTTGAGTATACTAGCAAAGCTTTTATTTTGAATTTAAAATGACTTTTTCCGTTTGTTCTCTACGTATTCGCGTTAGTTAACTGGTTAGTAATGCGAGTAACGTCACGCCTATTCAGATAAAGCTGGTAGCGACAAGTAATAAGTAAGTCGTTTCATTTACCTCCTGACTACGGGATCCCTTCAGCACTTGGCGGGTCAGGGCGATCACATCCCCGCTACATGAGCCCACTTTATCGGATAACAATCCTTTGACAGACTGGCCAAACCGCGGCTGGCTTTCAGTTGACGCCATTTTCTGTTTTGCTTAGCGATGGTGTGCGGGAAGAGTCAAAATACATAGCAACGCGTCCACGAGAACGATGTTAAGAATTTTTCTGACTTCGTAATTCTTCATCCCACAAAGCCAAAACAAATGAGCCTACTGTGCTTTGTGTTTCATTATCACATGACTCTATCATAAAAGGCCATTCTAGAAGATCACAGTTTGACTCATTGTAGAAATACCACAGACAAACACTGCACTATAGTAGAAGCACTAAGTGTAAATACCACAGTATAGCAAATAGGTACTGCAGTACAAGTAGTCAACTAAATACCCTAGTTTAACAAATATAAGATAACAAGTAGTCAGTAAAGTAAAAATGGCCCCTGTGCAAAAAATACTGTACTAGCCAAGTAGTCAATAAAGTATAAACACCAAGGTAACAAATACTGCAATATATGTAAAGTCGTGTAGTCAGTGTTTTTCTTGAAGTACAAATACAGTGTAAATATCATTAAAATCTCTTTTAATCTTAAAGTGAGGTACTTTAAATTGCTCCTTTCACAGTGTTGCATTATTGTGTATCATATTTTTGTATCGGCTATCATATTACTGCGTTGTATGTAAGCAGCTGTTTTGGGTGGAGCTCATTTAGATACTGTACAGTGGTTGAATCATGTTTACCACTGTATTGTATTTTAATTCCTTTGAATTTCAATTTCATTTATAAAGCCCAGTATCACAAATCACAATTTGCCTCAGAGGGCTTTACAGCATATGACATCCCTCTATCCTCACAGCGGATAAGGAAAAACTCCCCCCAAAACCCTTTATCAAGGATTAAAAATGGTAGAAACCTCAGGAAGAGCAACTGAGGAGGGATCCCTCTTCCAGGACGGACAGATGTGCAATAGATGTCGTACAGAACAGATCAACATAATGAATTTACAGTAATCACTATGACAAAATGACACATACATTTTAACCAGTCATGTGTTTTGTGTGTAAATTTTTCATGAACAAAGTAAGCACTAGCACAGCTGTCAGATAAATGGAGCTGGGGGGATGTTAAGTTGCAGAATACTGAATACTGTATGTAAAGTACAAATACCTTAGAACTATGCTTCAGTACAGAAATAGCCTATACTTGGTTACTTTCCACCACTACTGACTGCACTTTTATAGTGTATGTGATACGTGGACATGTGTCATCATGGTCTCAGTGATTCAGTGAATCAGGTGTCATGTTATCTTGTTGAAATTGTCCCGGCCTAAAATATTTAGAGTCAAGGATGTGGCATTGAAGGAGTTGTATAAAAGCATGTCCCTGCAGCAGCTCAGGGCCTACCTCCAGAGCTCCTCTCTGTGATGCTTGGCCTTCCCTCTGTCAGGACCCTCCTCTGTGGATATGACTTGGTTTCTGTGTCTGTGTGTGTTTTTGGCCGTGGGCCTGGCTTTGTTAGCATTGCAGTTGAAGCTCAGGATGTCCGCACATGGCCCCCAGGAGCCCCCCCACCTCCCAGCGCTACCCGTGATCGGCAGTCTGCTGAGTCTGTGGAGCCCACACCCTCCTCATGTGCTTTTCAAAAATCTGCAGGAAAAGTATGGACAGACGTACTCTCTGATGATGGGCTCCCACTGTGTCATCGTCGTCAACCAGCACCCACATGCCAAAGAGGTCCTGCTTAAGAAGGGAAAGATATTTGCAGGAAGGCCCAGATCTGTGGGTATACCTCTTCGTCAGTCTTCTTCTTTGCAGCATCAGCAGTAATTTATGTTTTCTTCCATTTTCATTCCATCTTGTGTGTGATGAAGGTAACCACAGATGTTCTGACCAGAGATGGGAAAGACATCGCATTTGGAGACTACAGTGCTACCTGGAGATTCCACAGGAAAATAGTCCATGGAGCTCTGTGCATGTTTGGAGAGGGCTCTGCCTCCATCCAGAAGATCAGTGAGTACAGTTCACTCTATACTCAAACATGATTCTTTTTATTTAACACAAGGCTTATAAACTGTACCCACCTGACACCAGGCAATTGTGGCTTAGGAGTCAGTCAGTCTCAATACTGTCTGACTTCTTGTCTCTTCCTCTCAGCTCTAAGCCCCTTGGTTCCTATTGAAGACATAAATCAGTATATTGCATACAGAAAATGTCAGTTGGCATGCACCCAGTTTGGAGAAGCAGGCTGGAGTGCGACATGGAAGCTGAGCAATGTAATGCTGTGGATGGGGCAGCAGCAAAATGTAATTTAGCCCTCTAAAAAAGTCCTACTTAAAAAAAATCAATATGAGTTTATGTGTACGCTATATTATAGTAGTGTATGTGGTGTATTTTCACAGCTTTACCATGCTGTCAGACAGTGATTTGCAGCCTTTATATCTCTCTTTTAAAAGCCAGACTGCATTGAGAAAAACAGTAGTTATCATTGCTGAACACAGTAGATGCTGGTCTACTGCTGCCGTGATCAGTTATTTTGTTTGTTATTGTGTGATTTTGGTGTTTAAAGTGTTTAGTTTGGAAGTCACACAATAACACAAACTAACTAACTGATCGAAGCAGCAGTAGACCAGTGACCACTGTTTTCAGCGAGATAACATTACTGTATTTCTCAAAGGAGTCTGGTGGCTTTGACAAGAGCATAGATGTTGAAATGAAGATCTTAACAGCTTTCCTGTTGTAACAGGCTGTCTGATGGAAAGGTAAAGCAGTGAAAATTTTCTAAATATAGCGCACACTTTATCTGATATAGATTTTTTTAGGTGGGACTTAAAAGGCTAAAACATGTTCTGTTGCTGACCCCTCTACAGCAGTAGCTACATTCTTCTCCAAACTGGGGATGTGCTGACCGACATCTACTGTATGTAATACACTGACTATGGATAAGTAAACCACACAACCCATCTTCAAAAATTCAAAGCTATTCCTTTAATGTTACACATAAAAAATCATATTTGTACTATTTTCAGCAGTGGATTAATCCACATTTGGTGCTCTGGTTAGTATTTGTGGCAGCAGGATGTTGTACATGGGACTGAGTCAAAATGATTCAGTGTGTTTGTGTTCATGATAATGAAGGAACATGTCGCCCAGTGCAATTGTGGGGCTCCCTGATGTGTTTTTAAAAACAATGGAGGTCTATGGCATAGAGGAAGAAGACGTATCAGGTTATAAGCATTGCAAACATGTCAGTAAGTGAAGACAGTCTGTTGCCTGTGTTTTGTTCAGTCTATGCAGAGGCACAGTCTCTGTGCTCCGTCCTGTCTGAGACAGCAGCTGCTGGACTGGCCCTGGATCTGTCCCCTGAGCTGACTCGCTCTGTCACCAACGTCATCTGTTCGCTCTGCTTCAACTCCTCCTACCATAGAGGAGACAAAGAGTTTGAGGCCATGCTGCGCTACAGTCAGGGAATTGTGGACACTGTGGCAAAGGACAGCCTGGTGGACATCTTCCCCTGGTTACAGGTAGACACCATGGACACAACACTAGAGCAGAATATGAAAGTGGCGCAAATAGCCTACAGTCATCAACAAGAAGGCACAGGAGCACACAGGATATATACAGTACAGGAACACAATTAAAGGTGCATCATGACTACTCGTCATCATCACTGTGTTTAATTAGTACTCTTAATACTTAATTACTATCGAAGTTTGCAGTGTGCCAATAAAAGCAATCACTTGCTGCTGTCTTAACAGTATAAGACCACATTTCCCATGAATACCATAAAGCCTGGTATACACTGTGTAATTGTGGGCTGTCCCAAATGAAAGATGACCAACGTGAAAGAAATGTGGCAATATCTTTGGTTGTGGCTCTAAAATGGTGGTCCTACATCACACAGTGAGAAAGGGTCAAGGATAGCCGTTTTCAAGGTCTTGCGACCGCAGACAACCTGGGATAAAATTCTGACAGTGTCAGAAATTTAGAATGAGTATCACTATGGGACTTCTGTTACGACCTATGTCTAAGCATGAAATGACGCACTGATAAGCATGACAATGCTAAATGCTAGAAGATGCTAATAAATACACTGACGTGCCAGGTTGGGATCATTTCCTCAGTCACGACCACGTCCATATTCTCCTTCTCCTCCTCATCTTCAGACTTTTGTTCTTGCTTACTGGAGGAGGTACATCGTAACTTGCGGTTCAGTAGGCGCTGTCATCGTATAGTCTGCATACATCGAACTTGATGTCCTACCCGAGTTTATTAGATCCATGTTGCACAGTGTAGCTGCACTAAACTTATAAGATTGCTAAGATCTCACAGTCATGTAACTTCTGTGCTAAAGGAACAGACCCCTCTAAGGAGCTAGAACAGTGACTGTAAGTTTTGGCTTTGAAAATAAAATTTTGCTTTGAAAAGGAAACATTGTCACCGAAAACAGTTCCACTGAAATATAAAACACAGGCATTAAAATTGATTTTTTTTTCTTCTAATTTTGATATTTTTGGCATTGTGATGTGGTTTCATTTTTTCCCCCTCATGTCATTCTTTTTCAGGGACATTGTGTAACATTTTCAGTTGTTTATTGGCAAAAATCGATGTATTCATAAATATGTCATCATTGGTGTACTATTTCCTCCACCAATAATCTGACTTATTCTTGTAAAAGGAGAATTTCAAATTTGTTTGTACATTTTGCGGGTAAGTCGTTTGGGTGGGGGGGGGGGGTTCCATAACGTTTCACCATCTTGAGAATACATCTGCCAACAAGGGACAGCAAGCCCTGCCTTTGGCGTTTTTGTTGAGAGCCAGGCCAGCTGTGTGACTGAGAAGCCAAAGGAGAGGAGCAAGAGGCACTTCGCTACTACCCCAGCACTACTGCAGCATAACAAAGTCTCACTCTTTGAGCAAAATGCAGGATCATGCATATGCAGCATCACGGGAGACGGAATCCTCGTCGCCAAGAAAGCGCAAAAGGGAATCATAAAAGCAACGTGACCGGCGAATTCAAAAAACGAGGATCAACAGCAAGAGGTGATTGCATTATCTTTCTCCTTCCGCAGCTCTCTCCACCTGGGAAAGGCTACCCCGATGCTGGCCGCTAACAGCTGTTAGCGGCCAGCATCGGGGTAGCCTTTACTGATGGTTTGAACGTCGCGTGGTGGTCAGAAACAAACAACAAAAAACAAAGTTGACTTGTGTGATTAAATAAAGGTAAAATAAATGGACAATTCATCAATTCATAGACGCTATGTTAAGCAATTTTACTTAAAAAAGTTGTTAAAAAAAGAGAAAAGTCACTTCCGTCATGCCAGGGGCACTTCCGGCAAGCCATAGGCTTGTGTCACGTCAGGGGCTTCTGCTCCTGAGCTGCAGCTGGATGCTACTCGGATGACATGGTTACATGAGCGTTTTCATAGCTTTTTAGTACACAGCGGCTACCGTTGTTGCAATACGCGTTTGAAACAGTGAGGCGCTAGAGTGCACCATCCGTTTGAATGCAATATATGATTTCAGTGTTAGATGGGAGAAATTCCTACACACTGTGGCTTTCAGGTTTGTTGTTGTTTTGGGGATTTTTTTCCACTTTTTTTTTTTTAATTTATGCCACTCTTTTTGGGTGGGTAGGAGGTGCTTGAAGGGAGTGGCAAAGACTTTCATATAATCTGAATACTAAGGACAGCATGTCTCTTCAGCACCTACAGTTCTTCAAGAGTGACATGAGAAACATCTTAAGATTGTCAAAGAAAAACACACCAGAATGCAAAAAATATGTTAATGCCTGTGATTTACGTTGCAGTGGAACTTTTTTACAGTGCCAGAGTTTCCTACTTTAAAGCCAGATTTTATTTTTAATGCCAAAACTTGCAGTCACCGTTCTAGCTCCACACTCATCCTGCTGTTGTGGGCTTGTGGGCACATGATTGTGTAAAATGAGTCTTGTTTGTTCACGGCAGTTATACTGATTCAATTGCAGTCTTTATTGTTTGATGGTAAAAATACTGAACAGAAGCAAAAGGGGATATTTAAACCTAATGGGACCATTCAACTCTAGATTCAAATGACTGAGGGAACAAAAGAAGAGAATAAGAATAACAAGATATTGTTTATAGAGATTCAATTGGTCATATTTCTATGAAAATGTTTACAGAACATAGGTATATATACATATATATATACACACACACACACACACACACATATATATATATATATATATATATATATATATGTGTACACACACAGATATTATACTGTACATAATATAGCACACTGTATATATGATGTCTGTCTCTTTGTCACAGATTTTTCCTAATGCAGACCTGCATCTTCTGAAGCAGTGTGTTTCAATCAGAGACCAACTTCTGCAAAAGAAATATGACGAACACAAGGTACAGTTGGCCTCCTGCTAATAATATGCAAGTGATGTCACTTGTCAGGTAAAGATGGGTAAGATGTAAGAGTTGGGACCTGACCTTCTAACAGGCCTCCAATTAAAGTATCAAAATGGATATTAAAAATAATTAATAGTGACAAATTACAAATTATCTGTGGTCCAGTGAGTCCCAACAGAGTTATATAGTTCCTGGAAATTAATATGTAACATATATGTCAATAATAATTGGGAAAACAGAGACAGTGGCATGCTTTAAATTAATTCAGATGAGTTGGTAGTGTGTGCTTCTTTTACTTAATTTAGATCAAAGCTTTAGCAAAGTTTAAGTCAGCGCACAACAGGTCAGCTGAATATACTATAACTTGTCTTTCTGTGTGGTCTAAGTTACAGACAAGCATATAAGCTCAACAAACATGGAGGATAAGGTTTTCAACAAGAAGTTTGTGATTAAGGTTGATTAAGGTTAAGGTTTTTTCTTATTCTATTTTATTTATTTTTTTGTCAAGGGAAGTCCTCTGGAAATCAGCAACTGCTTCTGACCTTTTCCCAGCAAGTTTGTAACTGCTATTTTATATCATTACCTTGCTCCTTTCTTTAAAAATTCCATAAACAGGTGGATGATGTATCAGAGCATTGTTCTCTGTGCAGTTAGTACCTAATGACATACGTTTTTTCCAGAAAACTTCTAGAAAATGATTTAGAAGTGTTTAGACCTGTAATATAAAGGCTAAGTGAGACAGAATTTTGTAGTCTACAGATCAATAAAAAAACAATATGCTAACAGACAAAGAGAAGGACAGTGGAGTGAGAGCCAAGCCAACTCCAACCATGTAACTCTATCTAACCATTTTAAAGGGATAGTTTGGATTTTTTTTGCAGAAGTGTTGTATGGGGTACTTATCCATAGTCATTGTATTACATATAGTAGATGTGTTGAGCCCCAGTGCACACACACTATGGACCTCACACAAATAGAGATTTGACATTAGATAACATCAACATACATATTACCCAGCAATCATGACTGCTTCTCTGACAAAAAACAAACAAACAAAAATGTAAGAAATTAATCATATAATTGAATAGTTTTTATGGTATATTTCTAGATTATGTAGTTTATGTAGAAAAAGAATATCATTTTGTTCTAGATAGCTACTGACTTTTTGTTTTTTAATTGAAAGAAAAAAGAAAACCATGACACAGATGGGTTTGCCTTTTTGAGGACATATATAGCAAATGGCACCATTTTTAAATTGACAGTATTCTTTTTTTTATCATATATCTTTAAACACAGGTATATTTCCATGGTGGCAATCTGAATCACTCGGAAGGGCCCACTCTCTCTACGGGCCCCTCCACCCCAGGGGCCCCCGTGCAGCCGCACTGCCTGCACTGTTTGTATTTATACCCCTGAGTAGATGTCAGTTGGCATGCCCCCAGTTTGGAGAAGCAGGCTGGAGTCTGACACAGAGGCTAAGGAATGTGCTGCTGTGGATAGGAGTCAGCAGCAAAACATATTTTAGCCACCAAAAAAAAAAAAAATCAGTGCCAATTTAAGGTACACTATGTTTAAAATAATTTCGCTGCTGTACCTTTCCCTCAGACAGTGATTTCTGATGGGGAACTGAAGCTGTTATTTTGCTTTCTTCAAAGCCAGAATGGTTAGTTCGGATTCATCAAAATCACACTGATCGAGGCAGCGATAGACCAGCAGCTCTCATGTTCAGAGAACCAAAATTACTGCTTGTGTCAATGGAGTCTGGTGGCTTTGAAGAGAGCATTGATGGGGAACTGAAGCCATTAACCCCGTTGAAACAGGCTGTCTGACAGAAAGGTAAATCAGTGAGAATACGCTCAATATACAGGAGCGTACACTTAATCTGTTATAAATCTTTTTAGGTGGAACTTCATTTAGGTGGCTAAAATACATTTTGTTGCTGACCCCATCTACAGCAGTACACTGATTAGCTTCCGTTGTAGAACTCCTGCTACTGCTCAGAACTGGGGGTATACCTACAGACATATACTGTAGGTAATACATTGACTATGGATAAGTACCCCATACAACCCCACTTCAAAAAATCTGAACCATCCCTTTAACACAACTTCATTGTGACAGTCATTTGAAGTTCTATCTGCTAAATGCAAACCCTATCAAATACAGTATACTGTATACTATGAGTGTGTGAGTACTGTCCATTGAAATTGTGCCCTCTCTCAGGCAGACTACAGTGACCATGTGCAGAGAGACCTGCTGGACGCTCTGCTGAGAGCCAAACACAGTGCTGAGAACAACAACACAGCAGAGATCGGTGCAGAGTCTGTGGGCCTCAGTGATGACCACCTCCTCATGACTGTGGGTGACATCTTTGGAGCCGGTGTGGAAACCACCACCACTGTGCTCAAATGGGCTGTCATCTACCTCATCCATCACCCACAGGTAAGGCTGAAGCAACAGGAGTGTGCACGAGAGTTGGGGGGTTTGCCTTGAGTGTAAAAAGTTTTTTTTCCCTCCCTGATACTTTGTCTGTTTGGATGATAGGATGATCTTGCTATATTGTACTTAAACTTCTGCGACCCTGCACCCTCATATGATCACATTACATTTTGGGTTTGCTCCACCTTACATTTAAGCTTGCTTAATTTAGACCTGTTGTCCTCCTTCATGGACACTTTTATGTGCCATCCAGTGGTAGCAAAAGTGCAATACACTAATCCATGTTAAAACAAGATAGTAGCCATCTCTGCCGAGTCAGTCTACTACCGATCCTGACACAAAAGTGGACAAGGTGCAAAACCTGATCAGATTTTATAGCTGAAACGTATTTGTGCTAAATAATGTTTGTAGTTTGATATGGCATTCAAATTTGACCAACTTTAGCAATAGTAACAAGCTAAGACCCTGTTAATTATGAAGGACTCGTTTGAGGACATTGGGACTTTATCATTGTATTGTGGCAGCATTTCTCAGAGGTGTGACAGACTGTTCTGTGTATTCTGTGTAGTGTTAATTCTGTTGACGAAAACTATGGTGAAAATTTTTCCGTCAACAACCTTTTTTCCATGACAAAAACGAGACGATGATGAGCTAAAAATAGATCTTGAAAATAAAAACTAATTCAACAGTATATAATCAGCTGTGTGTGTTAGCTGCTGAACAGCAGTGGAGCAAGCAGCCACCGGCCTCTGGACTCCACAGCTGATCCCAGCAGGACTCCACTCAGACCCAGACTTGTTAAAGTTTCTGGTTTGATGCTGTTTGACAGACAGGTAGGAGGCTCAGTTATCTGTGAGTGTAGCTGTGCTGTAACTGAACAGACTGAACTCAGATCGGTTTTCTCTGAATGAAAGTTTAGTTTTTAATCACCAACTCTGTGAGAGGACAAGAGTTTAAACCTCCAGACCAACATGTTGCAGATTATGAAAGAATTCATGCTTTAATTAACAGTGAGATGGATGAGTCAGAGTTTACAATGAATCTGGGTACAAATCCTAGTTGTCTCGGAGTAGTTATTTGTGGTGTCAAAGTTTTTAAGCATAAAAAGAGAGATGTGGAGCTTTTTAAATGATGATCAGTAAGTGTGTGCTCGTAAATCACCCCATAAACCTGTAAAAACTGCTGGAGAAATGACAGTTTGTAAGTTTGTAGAAATTGCTTGTAGTGGTAGAAAAAAAATGTCTAAATAAAATTTTTATACAACCTGTCACCTTGATTCTAATTTCTGATACATGAATTAGTCTTACTGGATTAGTTTAATGATTAAAAAAACCTAGAAAACATAATGACTAAAAGTAATCACGACAACTAAAATTGGACTTAAACTAAAAATGACTAAAATTAATAATCATTTTTGTCTCAAGAGTAATTCAAAAATAGCTGTCAAAATAAACAACGACCGAGTTATAACACAGACAATTCACAAGGCTTTATGGTTGTTATTATTTGCAATTTTATTTTTGCACAGTCATGTTCAGGCATTGAAATTAGCAGTTTTGAATGATTTCAGACTTGAACGGTGACCATAACCCACAGAGTATAAGCTATTGAACAAATCTTGCATCATTTGTAATTTTATTTTTGCACAACAAATTTCAGGCATTGAAATAAACTGTTTTGTACTTTATCAACCACTTGTGGCTATTGAAAATAAAGCCAACTTCCCTCTACGAGGACATCATTTTTTTCAATTTCATCATTTTGTGCTTCTTTACTAAAATGTAGAGAAGCCAATATGAGGTACCTTGAGCTGCAGTTCCTCAGAAATCCACTAGATGCTACACTGACTGTTGAAATGAGGAGAAAAGTTTTTTGTTGTGCTCTGACCAGTTAAGTTCCTTCTGCTTATGCAAGTCTTGGTAATGGTTTTTGGAACAGTATTTTTTTAACCATGTGACCTTTAATGACAGATATTTCAGTCTGTCACAGTCAGCAGTTGTGGCTGCCTTCCCTTATTGCTGAATTACAATTTTTCAGAGCCCAGTGACTGATGAAAAACATGATGTACAATCAGTCTGAATTAAAGTCATGTCTTCAGAAACCTGTGGCTGATGTCACAGATGCTACATCCTCAACAGTGTTACCACAACATGTCTATGAAAGTCTAGTTATCAGTGACTACAGTGAAAGAAGCCACCATTGCCTCATCAGTAAAATCAGAAGACCACACAATCTGCTCTAAAAGTGCAGCTTATAAGGGAAAGACATCTTCAGGGAACACTCACTTTTGTGAATATGAAGTGTGAAGTGTGAAGTTCAGTCCTGATAGATGAATGTAAGGCACAGAACCACAATGCCAACGTGAACCTTTGTTACATGCCATACCCCTCCAATTTGTCCACTATCCCATTAAGATTGAAAATGTGAAAAAGTGATATTTCTAAAAAGTGTGTAATTTATCCAAATCCAATGAGTAAGAATGAAAAAACTATGACTCGTGTGAATGTGATTCTGTGAAAGCTTTTCAAAACCCTGATAGGTAAGAAGACATATATATTAGAATAAAGTGTGTGCAGAACATTGATATTTCTGACTCTGTGTGTGAGTGTGTGTTCAGGTGCAGAGGCATATCCAGGAGGAGCTAGACAGTAAGGTGGGGGGGGACCGGAACCCGCAGCTCAGTGACAGAGGCAGTCTGCCTTACCTGGAGGCCACCATCAGGGAGGTATTACGGATCCGCCCTGTGGCCCCTCTGCTCATCCCCCATGTGGCCCTCAGTGACACCAGGTACGCTCAACACATTAACTGTTATCCACCTCACACAGGAGGATGAAAACAATGCAGCTGATCTACACAATCAATACAGCACCATGTTATACTGACTGGTATAACATAACTTAAATGATTCTGGAGAATTTTGCTCACGATTTTATCTTCACAAAGACATTTGTTTTATGCACAACCATACCACGCTGTTCTTCTCTGTCTCTGTGCTTCTCTGTAGCATCGGGGATTTCACAGTGAGAAAAGGAACTCGAGTCATCATCAACCTGTGGTCTCTGCACCATGATGAGAAGGAGTGGAAAAACCCTGAGCTCTTTGACCCTGGTGAGAGGAAAGAGCTCTGCAATGTGCCACATTTTATCCTGGAAAATGATGCACTGAAATATAATTTAACCTAAAAAGCCTTTTTTCACATGTCTGCTAATGAAAATCTGCCTTCGACAGATCATATAAAGGGATAGTTCTGATGTTTTTTAAGAGGGGTTGTATGGGGTCATCCATAGACAGTATAGATGTATCACATAAAGTAGATGTCAGTTGGCACACCCCCAATTTGGAGAAGCAGGCTGGAGTCTGACATCGAAAGCTGAGCAATCTACTGCTGTGGATGGGGGGGTCAGCAAAAAACAAACAAACAAAAAAATAAACAGATTAAAGCCATTAAAAAAAACTAAAAAAAATCAATATCAGTTTAAGTGTAAACTATAATGAGGATATTTTTGGTGCTTTACCTTGATGTCAGACAGTGATTTCCAACTGGATAATGAAGCTATTATATCATTCTTCAAAGCCAGGCTCCACTGAGAAAACAGTGATAGAGCATTACCAAAAACAGGAGCTGCTGGTCAACCACTGCCTCAAACTGTTAGTTAGTTAGTGTTATTGTGTGGCACTGGCGTTTTAAAGGGTTAGTTTAGATTCACCAAAGTCACACAATAACACAAACTAACTTATTGAAGCCATGGTAGACCAGCATTTCATGTGCTGAGCAAGCCAGAATGACTGTTTTTGTCAATGGAGTCTGGTGCCTTTCACCAGCGCACAGATGGGTAACTGACACTCTCAAAGGCTTCTCAGTCAGAACAGGCTGTCTAAGGGAAAAATAAAGTGGTAAAAATACTCTTAGTATTGCATAAACTTAAACTGATATTGACAAAAAAAACAAAAAAAAACAAAGCCACACTTCATAAATAAAGAGCAGTCCCATATAGTCTTTAGGCAGAAAAATGTTTTACATCAGTTGAACCCTGACTGTGAGTCTTGTAGTTTTGCTAGTGTGTGATCCCAAGTCGTTTTTCTGCAGGTCGGTTCTTGAACACTGAAGGAACAGGTCTGATCATCCCATCACCCAGCTACCTGCCGTTTGGTGCTGGGATCAGGGTGTGCCTGGGTGAGGCCTTGGCCAAGATGGAGCTCTTCCTCTTCTTGTCGTGGATCCTACAGCGCTTCACCCTCTCTGTCCCACCTGGCCACCCTCTGCCCAGTCTGGAGGGCAAGTTTGGTGTGGTCCTCCAGCCAGCCAAATACAAGGTGAATGCCGTGCCTAGACCAGGCTGGGAGAGAAACAAGTGTCAGGCATGTTGAGACTGGCTGCATGGTCTCAACAACACTGGCTCACATTTGTGACCTGAGAGTCTGTGGGTTTTTTTCAGATAGCCAAGCATACATGATGCAGGCAGATGATCAAAGATGTAGCAGTGAAGTGGACATATGACAACATATCTTTATGTGCATGACATCTATTATTATTATTATAGCTTCACAATTAAGGGCGTCACAATATACTGGTATTGATGATAATGGGGATATTTGAAAATGAAATACTGATATCATGTTAATAATGTACTAATATACACCGAGTAGCCACAACATTAAAACCACTGACGGGTGAAGTGAATAACATTGATTATCTCATTGCGATGCGATGTTCTGCCTGGAAACCTCGTCACCTGCCTCTTGACACATACCATCCAGCTAAACATCACTGCAGACCAAATACACCCCCTCATGGTAACGGCAGTCCCTGATGACTCCTTGTGGCTCATTGGTTTATGATTACATTGTGTATATAATCCAGTGCCTCTTACATAATTTCCATTTAGTTACATTCTTGCTTTGTCGCACTCCCTAGCACCATCTGGTTTCCTTTTCACTGTCCATTAAGTGTAATTGCTCTTTTTGTACGCTTTTGTACAGTTCTGGTTACAGATCCTCTCTCCATCTCCCTCATATTTTTAGTGTAATTATTTGCCAAATAAACGAGATTAATATACAAATAAACAGTTTGAGATTAATCTGACAGAAAGCATCATTCTTATTTTTTTAATTTTTTCATTGTTGTTTTCGTTGTTTTTTAAATTTTCCATAGATATCCTGATGATATTGTTATCGTGAACTCTTTTGGCCACAATAGTAGTGAGAATCTGATATTGTGCCTCCCCTACTCACAATGTAATGCCTGGTTCACACTACACAATATCAGCCCAATTCTAGCCCAACGCAGCGACATACGGTGTTGGCATGGCTCGTGCATGACAATCAGCGTAATCTGTCATTTCATCTCATGCAGTGTGTCATAGTAGACAACAACCGATGCAGAGTCCTGGACGCCTCATGACTTTGCAGCAGAAAGTCTATTGCCAGGTTCACACTACATGACATTTCTGTCCATTCTGACAGTCACTATGTCACATTAGGTGATTGTGGAGTCATAAATTTGTGCCGTGACTTGGCTGACAGACATGACACACTACATGATGGGCCACACCAATTATCCGTAGTCGTCTTTCACAACGTGTGTGATGTCATTGGGTTATTCTTGTCCTTTTTTTATTATTACTATTATTTCAGTCACTGTGTCTGTTCATGTGCCAGCTGAAATGTTGTTTTAGTAACGTAAAAAAGCGCCACCATATGGCAGGAGCTACATTAGAAGTACTGTAGGCAAACACGCAAGTCACTGAATCCTGTGATGGCAGTGAGGAATAGGGCCCAAAATGCAGACACAGAGGGAAGAGGGTTAACAGGTTTATTGTGTCAGAATTGTGCAGAGAACTGAGGAGATCCGGAGTCGAGGTGCAGAGTGAGGAAACCAGGTGAGAGTGCACAAATCCTCCACAAGTTCCTACAAATGTTTCACAATTAAAGCCTTTTTTTTTTTTTTAAATGAAGGGATTCTCTAAACCTAAGTTAAAATGGGCTTTTAATTTGACACAGATACAGGAAATGTTGAGTTTAAAATGACGGTGCGATGCATTAACTTTATCAAGGCCACTATTTTTTAATTTTCTTACTTTATGTCCGTCTCCATTATGAATAAATAACATTGTTTGCTAGCTTGATGCTAATGGCAGTACTCAGCTGGGTTTCTAAAGTGCCTCTGCTGTTTCACACCATCATTTTTCCTTTTTACTCTGTGTGGTAACATCCCTAACTGCCCCTAAAAGAAGTGGTCCTCACTGTCAACTCTTTGTTGTTGGGTAACTGGTGCATTTGCTTGTTTACCATCTGATTATGAAAATGAGTTCCACCTTTGTAGTTCCTACTTGATGCATGTCTGTAAACTGTATGATAGTCCTGCCATTGTGAGATGAGGGGAAAAATGATTAGTAATATTGCGTGGTGGGCCATTCACAGGCAACAGCTCTGGTGGACATTCCTGCAGTCAAGTATTCAATAACATGCTCCCTTGAAACTTGGGACATCTGTAGCATCGTAATGTGTGATCAAACTCCACATTTTAAGTGGCCTTTTATTGTGACCATCCCAAGGCACACCTGTGTAGTAATGATGTGGTTTAATCATCATCTTGATATGCCACACCTTTCAGGTGGATGGATTATCTTGAGAAGAAGTGCTCACTTACACAGATTTTAACTTATTTGTGACCAAAATTTGACAGAAATATATCTATTGAGTGCATAAACAAGTCTAAAATCTTTAACATGAGAGCAAAAACTAAAGTGTTGACATTATAAACAGGAAGGCAGGATTTCTGTACCTTATCTTAAACATTACACTTGTTCTGTCATCAGGACATTCTAAAAGAGACTGTTGCACCATGGATGGATTTGGAAAACCAGACTATTTCACCACATACTCCCAGAGATTAATCTCATCACTACAATAGATCAAGAGGACACAATGTAGCTCATAGATGATTTAATTTAAGTTTTACATACTTACTCATAGTGGAGCTTGTTTTTAGTGCTAGATGGTGGTTCCAAAACCTCTGGGTTGGGCCCCTCCAATGGGCCACCAGATAAGGTGGGGGGCAGGAAAAGAGTGAAGGGGCAGAAAGGACTTTTCTCTTGCTTTTTTGTGAAATATTAAATCTTCAGACATCTTCAAGTCTCAAACAGTTGTTTAAATGAAACCCTGTAAGAAGTTTTAAGGGGAAATTGTGGCAGAACTGCTAACTCTTCATAAGCATCTGAAATATGGCAAGAGGCAAAGGTTGGGAACCACTTCATTTCAATCTTTAGAAGTGCATCTTTTTTGTTTGTTTTTGTTTTTAGTTAAAACTTTATCTGTTAAGTAATTAGTGCTATTATTGCTCTGAGTTAGTAATGCTGTTTTCATTCACTAAAACCCCTCTCCCACTGCACTAAAAACCCACTAAAAACACCTGCTAACATCATTGCATTTGTAATGCAATGGGAATGGTTTTAATCAGCATTTATACCCGGGTCAAATGACTGCAGTAGTCACAGGTATTTATCGCCTCCTGCTCCGATCGGCATTCATGGGAACCCAACACCTGGGTGAAGGCACTAATTTCAGCCCTTTAAGTGGTAGGATGCAATGGTGCGCCATCACTAAACATCGTCCATCTTCGCCCAAGCAACGCTCAAACATCGATCAAAATTAGTCTGCACTGAGTTTTAAAGAGAGACTGAGTAAGTAAGAGATAAAAAGAAGTAACTACCTAACGTTAACGTTGTCTACTGTTTGCCTGTTCTCCGGCCTTTCTGTGACGTAGATGTGACGGGTGTTGGGGTCATTACTCAAAAATGTAATGTATTGCACATTACACATTACTTAGGGAAAAACTAATCCCTTACTTTACTTGATTATTCCCTGGAGAAAGTAATTAGTTACAATACTTGTTACATTACTAGTTACTCTGTAAAATTGCTTGAAATGCAATGTTGCGTAATTTGCCAGTTAACGATATAGCATTAAACCTTACATATGTGTAACAATCCTAATGTAGGTATAGTTAACTAGATGGATATACCCAGAGTCGGCTTCATGAGGGGGCACCAGGGGGCAGTGTCCCCCACTTCATTCACTGTGCCCCCTCACTTGTATAAAAGCATATGTTTTCTCCCATCAGTGTAATTGTAGCGATGACTAAAATCCATTATGCTATTAGGCTGTTGCATGAGGTGTAAGGCCAGAGCATCTTGTTTATTGCACAGCTGGTTCACAAGGTAGGCCCCTAAGCAGACTTCCCTCTTTCTCTCCTTAAGTATTTGCAGGGTTTCCGCCAGAGAAGTTGTTATGCCAGGCGGGGGGTGTTCGTAAGTGCTATATCGTAGGCAACTGGAAATGCTTGCGTTTCTTGAAGACGTTTCGCCTCTCATCCAAGAAGCTTCTTCAGTTCTTTATCAGTCATTTAGAACGGAAGAAGCTTCTTGGATGAGAGGCAAAATGTCTTTAAGAAATGCAAGCAAGTCCAGTTGCCTATGATATAGCTAGCACTTATGATTACCATGACCTGGATGCATGACTGAGAATCTTCACCGACCAGGCGGGGGGTGGTTACCGTGTGTAAAGGTGTTATGATTATATTACTTGCCCACTGCCCCACAGTCATTTAGTTCATTTTTGCATATCAGCGCCACGTTCATCAAATAAAAAAAAAACTTGAATCTGTAAAATACTAAGCGTGTTATCAATATTTAGTAGGATAACGGATGTTACAATTATAAACTGAAAGTGTGTGTCTGTGAGACTCAAGTTGCAGCACAGAGTAGCGGAGTGAGACGTCTGTCCTCGCTCCTGCTATCTGCTGTAAACACATGAAGCTGCTCCCATGTCTCCCTGGGTCTTGGTGCTTGTTTGTGGCAGAAACTCTCCCATCCTCTGGTTCGTCCCCACATCTGTGTTCGCCGCTGACCGGCTGGACACGGAGGACGACCTGTTGGCAGCAGCCTGAAGCCCGTCATCACTAACTCTTAAGTAGCTAAAGGGAAGATCTAATGATGAACTTATGTAACACAAGTAACGAGTTAAGTGTTTGATTAGTAACTGTAATGTGATTACTGCATTTAGGGACAGTAGTGCCTTACACAACTCATTACTGGAAAAAGCCATTTTTGGCGGTAACGCCTTAGACCCAGCACTGGATGTGACACACCAAAAAAAAAAAAAAAAANCGGTGACTCTCTTGGGAGAGGGAAGAGGCTCTAACGGGAGATTGAGTTGTTCAGCTAACTCACTGTGAATGAAGTTGTCGTCCGCACCAGAATCGATGAGGGTCTGCAGGGGTAGAGAGTCCCTCTCCCAGAGGAGGCAGGAGGGCACAGAGATCCGTTGAGGAGAGCTGGAGGGGGAGGAGGTGTGGCTCACCAGTGCGCTCTCACCTACTGATGAGCCTTGTCGTTTAACTTATGAGGGCAGGTGGCGAGGAAATGGCCAGCTTGGCCGCAGTAGATGCAGAGTCTCAGAGTGATGCGTCTCTGCCGCTCATTAGGGTGCAACTTCGCCCGCCCCAACTGCATGGGCTCCTCCGGGGGCACAATGGAGCTGGCAGGAGAGGGTGGCGAAGCAGAGGGTCTTGTCAGGCCGGAAGAGGGAGCCAAGCTACAGGGTCTGGGTAATCTATGCTGAGTTCTCTCCCTGTGTCTCTCCCTCAAATGATTATCTATGCGAATCCCTAGGGAAATTAACTCCTCGAGTGAGCCTGGCTCATCTCTGGAGGCTAGCTCATCCTTAAGCTCGTCGGACAAGCCTCTCAGAAATACCCCCTTTAATTCTTGCTCCCCCCACCTGCTCTCTGAGGCTGCGATACAAAAATCAATGGAAAATTCAGCCACTGACTGAGAACCTTGAGTTAGAGAAAATAGGCGCTTTGCTGCCTCCTGGCCCCCAATAGGGTGATCAAAAACTCTGCGAAGTTCCTCAGAAAAACAAGAAAAAGAACTTAAGACAGGTGACTGCTGGTCCCAGATGGCTGTGGCCCATTTAGCTCTCTTTCCCCGTAACAAATTAATGACATAAGCTATCCTGGCTTTATCGGTAGGATAACTACAGGGCTGCTGGTCAAACACTAAAGA